ACCTGGTGTCTGTGGTTTATGACCCAAAGCTGGTGTTATTTGGAACATGATGATATTTCATTTGATCTTTTCTTCACAATTCAAAACGCAATGGTGTGGTTTCTTTTGCTGTTTCTCTGTTCTTGTCTGTCTTTCTGCCTCTTTACATTGTCCATGTGAGAGATAAGTAGGCGTAAGCGCCTGGCAAGTGTTGTTCAGCCTTAAAACCTGGGTTGCAACAGCTGTTGCTAACGTTGTTGTTCAGTTAGTACCCATTTTACAGCCACGTACTGCACATCCGCCTTCTAGGTATCGTTTGTTTTTGAATTCGAAAAGGTCTTTCCTTCTTATCTCGCCCAAAACAAAACCTGGCCTTTGTGTCCTCTCAGGTACCATTAACTGCTGCTTGATCTGTTCGTCCACAGACATGTCTGCCCTGATCTCCTTGAGGAAGAGAGCCCAGGGGGAGAAGCCACTGGCTGGGGCGAAGATAGTAGGCTGTACCCATATCACTGCTCAGACAGCGGTACGTCCGCTCATCCCACTCATCAGCGGTCCCTTTAATGTGACATCTTTTTCTCTTCTTATCTCTGTTACTTTTTTCTTTATCTTCATATTTCATTGGTCCTTCTCAGGTCCTGATTGAAACTCTGGTAGCACTTGGGGCCCAGTGTCGCTGGACTGCTTGTAACATTTACTCCACTCAAAATGAGGTGGCTGCTGCTCTTGCAGAGACGGGTGAGTATCAAGTAGCAAGAAGAGGCCTATTAACAATAGGGTGGAACAAAAAATATGTCATTCCAAATAACTATGTACTATCTAAAATAAAATAAAGTATTTTTCTTTGCTTTATTGCTCATAAGGTTGATGAACCCAAAGAAAGCTTAAAACTTAAGAGCACTTTGCACCTCTCCTTCCACTGTGTAATGTGCACTAATGGAGCTGTGGCTCATGCTGTCTTTGCCTGTAATTATGTGTGCTTTGTTTCCTGCAGGGGTACCTGTGTTTGCATGGAAGGGTGAATCAGAGGACGACTTCTGGTGGTGTATCGATCGCTGTGTCAACACTGAAGGCTGGCAGGCCAATATGGTATTACCTGGATAGTCATGTGGTGAATGTAATGCCTGTCTTAGTCTCTTGCTGTTTTCTGTGTGCACATCTTCCATGTTGACTTTTTTCCCCCATAGATCCTGGATGATGGTGGAGACTTAACCCACTGGGTCTACAAGAAGTATCCCAGCGTCTTCAAAAAAGCCAGGGGCATTGTGGAGGAGAGTGTCACTGGTGTTCACAGGTCAGATGAGGTTGCAAATCTAGAGCTTTAGTGGAGTTTAAATTTTATCTGCAGCACGTGCCTTTTTGTATTGCAAATTATGCAATTTCTGTCTGGTAATTCTTTTTGGTTTACATTGGTATCATTATAAAATATGTCAGTAAGACCCAGGCTGTATGTTCTTTACAGCAGTGGTCTCCAACCTTTTTTGCGCCACGGACCGGTTTATGCCCGACAATATTTTCATGGACCGGCCTTTAAGGTGTCGTGGATAAATACAACAAAATAAAACTAGTACCGGTACCGAAAAAAAGAAAATTTATTCATAACACACGTGAAAAGAC